GCTGGATAGTCTGGATAGCAGCCAACTCCTAAAGTCGCCCGCTGTCCACTGACCACTTCTTGTCTTATCTAATGACAAATAGAGCTCTGAAGTCAAATGTGGATTATTAAACATTAGTTAGTTCTAAGGTCACCATTTTGACCTTAGAACTGAAGAAGCTTCTCGGATGAGAGGTGAAACATCTTCAAGCAACTTAAAGAAGTCCAGACGCTTTTCTTTGCAAGCTCCTTTGACTACGATGACCTGGATGACTGAGAACCTTCACAGACATATAATAAAAATGGAGATTTTTTCCACCTTTATAAACAGTAAAATGCAATCACATTCAAATATTTTCCCCAAAATGAAATTATTATAATTTATAAATGATTATACATTTTGACCCATCCAAACGCAGACATAAGACATGTTATTGTGCAGGTTTCAGACTGAGCTATTGGGATATTATTTACCTCCCTGTTTGCTTAATTCTACCTGCCGAAGAAATGCAGACTTTGTAGAAAACATTTTACATTATAATTTTTGAAAATGAGTGGGTTGGTAATGTTGTTTCTTCTCTTTTTCTATGTAATCACCTCCCTTTTCTCATGTTATCTTCCCCTCTCCAGGTGCCTGTCTTCCACGTCCCTTGCCTCCTTTTTATCTCTATTCTTCCAGCGACTCCCTCCATCGCTCGCACTTCCACAGCTGTATCTATCATCATAATAGCCTGCTCATCTGAGTCCCCCCACATCTCTCCTCTCATCATCCCTCTCTTCCTCTCGTCCATCTTCGACTATCCTTTATGGAGCTGGATAATCCCCTCTTCCCTCCTTCATTTATCTCTCTTGCTGCCTTTTTTGTCCTCTCCTCTCACCTGCCTGTCTTTCTTTCCTATCCTTGCTTAACCCAGATGCAGTGTTCTTATTGAAACGGTGGAGAATAAACCACAAGAAGAGCATCAATCCGATGTGAGGGGATTTATTTTTCTGACATCCTCTACATTGTATAAAGTGTCGGGTGACTTTTCTATACCGCCTCTTTTCTTTTTGTGTCCAAACTAGACATTTCACCATGAAAGAACCAATTTGCTTTTTTTTTGTTTTTATTTTATTTTGATTTTGTTTTGGAGTGACAGAGAGGAAGAAGCTCAGTGAACAGAAAAGTCCCCTCTGCTCACAGAAATGTCAGATTATAGCTGCAAACATGGTTTAGACTTCAGTGACTCATCATTGTTTGTGTTCCCTGCCAACAGAGCAAAAAACGCATTCACGGGCAAATTAAGTCCACCCTGCACAAACAGACTGCTAGCCATTAAGGGATGCAATGAAAGTTCAGAACACAAACTTTGGTAAACCAAAACTTCAAGCTTGGAACTTTATGTGTCATTTTAAGACATTTAATTTGTTGGGCGGAAGTGCAAAGTTGACAACTTTTTTGAAACAACAAGTTCTTCCACATAAAAACTGTATTTTTAGTGTCAGTGACTCATAACATCCACCATGTCTATAAATCTAAAAAACTGAGATAGAACTGACAAAGACTTTGGCTGTGGTTAATATTTTAAAAGGAAAACAAAAAGTAATGTGGATTGATGGATGGAAGAAAAAGTGACATGTATGAAGAAGCTTCATTGCATGACTGTGCACAGCCGGCGCAGACACCAACGTTGATTAAAAAGAAGAATCATTGTGTTCTGACACACGTCTGAGTCATTTCTGGTAGAATACAGTGTTCTCTGAGTTGACGTCTCTGTTGGAAGAACAACAGTGTTGTCAGCAGCTCCCAAAACTCTTAAAAATTGCCTGCTGGGACTGTGCTTTGGGTAAGGTTTGTTTAGGTCAGGAACAACTTGATTGTAGGTCGGGAAAAATGGTTTAGTTTATAATTTACAATTTTGCAAAGGTCAGGGACTTTCATTTTCAGGACTTCAATAATAACAATATAATTATAGTCAGGAAATCATCACACTTCAAATGGATTTTACACAATAGTTCATTTTGTTGTTAGTGAGCTAACACTAGTTATGGACTCACTAATACAGTTTCTCTGAAAACACAGAGAGTATTACTTGCAAAGGCCAACCAAGTGAGGTAGTTTGCCTTAGAGACCCACTCCCTAAGAGCGCATCCTGAAATTATTTTTCTTTCTAACTTTTCTTTGGTCCCTTTTTAGCAACCTCTATATTAGATTTATGGTTGTTTTGTTTTCTTATTTTTGATTTCCATTTCCTTTTCATTCTATTTGGAATAGCCTTATTCAGTCTTATTCTATAAGAAAAGTCAACATCCATCCATCCATCCATCTATGTCTCGGGACTAAAGTCAACATAAAATTTGGAAAATCTGGAAGATCCCCAAAGCAGGGTCATTAAAATTAAGCCATGACCTCAAACATCTTCTAATTCCAACATGGAGAGAAAGTTGTAACACACATAAATAACAGAGTAGTTGTGATAATGTTGTTCCTGCTGTGAAACGTTTTTAAAAGAGATCACAGAATCTGTTTTTTCTGTCAACGTTGACGCGTTAACTTTGATTAATCCGGCGTCACGATTGACGCAATTCAAATTTTTAACGCAGTGAAAACATCAGGAGTGCAGAATGGACAAACTTTGAACAAGCTACCCGACATGAATTGACAGGGACATTTCACGGATTTTGAGTCATTTTGTGCTTCAGATGGGTTAATTGCATTGGAAATTTTAATCGTGACAATGCATTAATCCACGTTAAAGCGTTAACATTGACAGCCTTAGATTTTTCACTGACATTTCTGTCATTTCATGTTTCAGTTTAACAAAGGTGGTTATTGTGCAATCCCAGGGTTTTCCAATGCTTCCAAAGACATGCAAGGACAAGACATACTTCTGCTTTTGGAGAAAGGGAGGTATAAATGATGGAAAAGAATAGACAGTACATGACAGGAGGCAAGAAGAGCGGAAGGAGCAGGAGGAAGGGGAATGACTGAGATCTGAGACGGGATCTCGCTCTACTGACTGAGGAGGAGGAAACTGACTGAACATTGTGATAAAGGAAGAGCTCAGAGCAGAAACATGACAGAGAGATCACAGAGAAAAGAAGATAAAAAGAAAATAATGGGATATTTAAGAACTCCTTTTACCTCAAGTGATATAGTAAGACAGACAAAAGGACAAAGAGAGAGGGAGAAGGATGGAGAAAGACATCAAACAACTATAGTCATAACTAAAAATGAGTGGCAATGACTTATTCATGTTCATGTATATTAGGTGACAAATATAGAAATCAACATACATTCTCTGTAACAAACCAAGATGGTTACACCTGCTTTTACTAAAGAAAAAAAACCCAAATTGCATGGTTTGTGTTGCAGATTTATGAGCAGTGGGAGGTTTAGCAATTACAAAGGAAGCAGAACAACATTAACTTCAAGCACCAGCATATCTGACTTAGAGAGTACTCATAGCTTCTGAAAATGATTGCCTGCTAGGCACAATTTAGACACAGAAGCAACCGGCAGCAAACTGATTACTCTCATCAAGAAGGACTAAGCAGCACTTTTGGAGTCAAAGTGACAAGGTTAGTAACTCAAAATACTTCAGTGATGTCTGGTGATTTCCTGACAGGTTGGGTTGCTGAGGACTTTGACTGGGAGGGGGATTAGCACAGCTGAGTGTGGATGAAATTACTTTTTAGGATTTTAAATAGCCATGCACACTTGGTGTCCTCGGGAATCTAATTCCATACAGGATGAAAGCACTTACAGGCAGATATTATTATGCTGTCCAATAGCTAAACAAAGATGAAACATGACCCCAACCTCCTTTTGGAATCGTCTCTTCTATTTCGTTGCTTTATGCAGTTGTCCAAATCTGTTTCAAAATGCACGAGGCATCTTCTCAAAGGTAGTACATCAAGGCCCGGCTGCGTAGACAACAGGTAAACGATCCAAATGGCACAGTTACATCCAAGACAATGAGGCATTTGGCTGGTTTGTGTTGTATATATGGGGCTACAGTTGCAGTTTTGTTGCTCTCATGTAGCTCATTTGCTCCAGAATGAAGAATGGTGTGGCACGTGTTCAGCGCTGCAGGATTTGGTGTGTGCGACGAACGCACCCACCCAGAAGCTGTGTTTTATTTAAACATTCAGGGCAGCTTTTTAGCTGGAAATCTACAGTGAATGATGAACGAACAATGAAGTGGAGGTCGCATGGCAAAACAAACTAATGAGTGATAACCGAAGAAAGAGTGGGTTTCAAATCAAAGTACAGTATGTGATAGCTTCCCTTAAGCTTTTATAAATATCTGTGCCACAAACCTTGGGGACCATGTACACCGACAGTGTTATATAGAGAGTTTTCCCTACCATCACCTTGTTGGTGCTCTTGTTGCCTTTTAGGGCAATTTAACTGATTTGTGTGGCAAATGCCGTGACCTGTTGTGAAATACAGCCAATCCAACAAGTCTGTGCTCCAGTTGTGGTGACTCACATCCTAGTATCATTATTAGTCTTACAACCAAATAACAGGTACCTGCTTTAATGTGTTGAATATACACGGGTACAGTTTATGGATGCCTGCTAACCTTAGCGGATAACTTTACTCTCAAATCTAAATATAACCACTATGGCCAGCTGGAGTGGGATCCAACCATACATCTCCTTTTTCATGTCATGTCATGTTTTTTTGAAAGCTATTGACTGGTAAAAATTAATTGTTGCCCTAATCAATGTAGCTAATAAATAGTAAATAGCTTGTTCTCCCAAACATGTTCCCTGTTAAGGTATTTTTGGCTCAGTGACTCATGTTTAACACTTTCCAGCTACTGGGCAGCCTTCTTCACCAGGCAGCTGTCCATGGTGCTGAATAAGAGCCACAGATGGCAAAACATGAATGGATGTCATCCTACAATTTGTTTGTTTCAAGAGTGAAATGAGTAGTTGAAGAGAAGAGGTGTGAGAGCTTTTTGTGTAAAATAGTGATGGAGATGCAGCCATGGCTGCCTATCATGTGTTCACAGTCTATAGGACTCGACTTACTTGGCACCCTGTTAATTGCTTTGAGTGGCCGCAGCACCCTCACTGTTCTGATGGCCGTGAAGTTGACGTTCTGCAGGTCCAGAGAGTACTCAACCATCCTGGAAAATGGGGAAAAAAAGCATCCAAATTAAACACACACTAAAAATCCACACTACAACATTCCCAAAACAGCTGCAGTTCTACAGCTGCAAGACCAACCGAAAAAAAAAAAACAACCCAAAAAGTCTCTGATCCTCACAGAAAAGCAGTTTCATCTGAAATTCCAGCTAAAGTTGATTTAATGTTCTCCTCCTTTCAGGGCTTTTAATATTAAAAAAGCCTAAACAGAAGATTGTTCACATCCTCGCACAGCTGGACACCTGCTGTGCGGAGCCTAATATGAATTAATGAGCTGGAACATGTGTATCTAATAATGGAAGACATTTAAAGAAAGAACGGGGTCAGTGGAATACTGTAACATTATCTTAACTGTGTTGGAAATTACAAAACAGACATTCATTAGTTTGCAGACGAACATTAATAATAATAATGAATGTAGGAGTCTTTATACATTTTTTTAAACATGGAGAGGTTGCAGAGTCCTGCTCCTGCAGTAAAAAACAGACTTTTTTGTGTTTTTTTGACTGAGATGGAGAAAGATGTTAGGCCACGGCTGAAAACCTTCAGCATCCCTGGAAACTGGTTACACCTTTTAGCACACATAGCGAATGCATCAAAGTGCATACCGGTTGGTTGGCAGGTGTACACAAGCATGAAGTGCGGGAGATTAAACGTGCAACCACCAGAGATGAAAGCGGAGCCTGGCGAGGGAGCAAAGACTGGAGGTGGAGGGAGTAAACAGGCTTGAAGTTAAACTAGGTATGGCATAAAAGAGACAGAGAAAGGTGAAGAAAAGATCGAGAATTTTGCTATTTCACCTGGTCCTAACAAATTCATCACTTGGAAAATATATTTTTGCCTGAGGAATGGAGTGTGTGGGGGTGGGGGGCAGAGGACGGAAAGCAAGAGAAACAGCCAGAGATGGCAGGGGTGAAAAAAACGTGAGAAAGTGACGGATAGGTCAGAAACCAATGTGAGGAAAGCACCAAGGGTTGATTAAGTGCATTATAATGAAGGCAATAAAGCAAGATTGAGAGAGGAAGAAAGAGAGAGCCTGAGGGTTTTATCAAGTGTTTGAGATAATTACAACGCTGGGAACAGAGAGGCAGGGAGAAGAGAGCAATATGCATACACCTGACTGAACAGAAGGAAGCTGCTCTTTGGCTGAGAAAGGGTGGGGGTGGGGGGGTGGACTCTTATCAAGACGCAGGAGAGCGTGGTAAAAGAAACTAAGGCAAGTTTCAGGTATTTGACACAAATATTCTGCTCCTGCTAAGATATTCAAGCTCCGTGATAACATGCTCGTTTCAAGGATAAGCCAGAGAGCCTAGCAGGTGCTTTCTCAAGTGATTAAAGAGCCAGATTACATTTTTCACTTTCGACCTCTCGACCTGCACACCTGGAGGAGAGCCTTTAACGCACGACTGTGCAATAACCGGAAAACTGACGGTAGTGCAGGAATGTAGTGATGCTCCAGAGGGAGTGTCCCAGTTTGAAATGTTTGCGAGGTCTTAAAGTTGGAAAATTCAAACAAGTTTCAAACTGTAATGATCTAACCTGGATGTCAAAGTCCTGCCGGGATTAGAGAACTGTAAGCGCTGCTGACTTCTATCAAATGTCGAGCTGGGGAAAATTATCATCATAAAGCCTGGAACGCTTGACCAGGTCAGAGCTTTCAAATTGACAAACTCAGCCCACAGTAGGTCAAAGGTGAACCTAGTGAGCAAAACAGTTTGTTTTATTCTTTGCGGTCCAGCGACAAAACTTGTCTCCGGTGTCCAAACCTCTGCCCACGCTTGATTGCATCCGTTAGGTACGAATCTAACCCGGTGAGCCGTGAAATATGAATCTCTCTTGTTGCTATTATATTACCATAACCTTGGCGGGTGACAGGTGGCGGCGGAGGACTGCTTCAGCTCCCTGCACAAATCAGGCAAAAATACTCTAGTAAAACACGCTGACCATGAAAATAACGGTCAGAGTTCACAAACTACTCAGAGACAAGCGCATCTATGTGGGACCACAGGCTGGTGATCCAATTTGTCAGGGGACTTTTCCGTGGGGGGAGTGGAGCAGAATAAACACTTGATCAAATCTTTATTTCAAAATATAACGCTAACAAACATAAAAAGAAACAAATCAGTGAAAGCCATCATATCCACACGGGGAAAAAATGCTGACCATTTCATATACACGTACAGGTGTAATTATTTAACTACACCTCTTCAGAGGTATTGCTTTTTAAAATATGTCATTATATACAAGTATCAGTTTTTAACACCCTGCTTTACATGTTATAAATGATTTATGTTGTGCATTTTTTCAGACCCTCACCCCACAGATTTCTAAGCACATACTCCTTGTTGTTGTCATTTAAATCTTACCAGATCCATAAATTTCAATGTTTTTCAGCTTGGAAATAAAGAGTCTATGTGCTCCAGATGTCCAACCTTATTAACTACCTTATCTTTTTGTAATGTGTATAGTGGCTGTAGTTTGCTTTTGTGTTGCCCCATATGGCAAAACCGCAATCTTTTCCTAACCCCATCCAATTACTCCAAAAAATAAATACATGAAAAACAAAAGTTAACAGAGATTTCAAGGAAAAGCAAAAACTGAGTCTACTCCTCCTCAACAAAATACCCAAACAAAAACTGCCAAACTCATGTGCATTCGTTAAAAGTCTGGTGGATATATTCTGTTGCTGTTTATGAGAAAACAAAAAACCCTCTCACTTCTAGTAAGCATGGACGAAGGAACTACCCACTGGGAGGAGGTGGAGGCCACCTACCTGTGATCTGCATGGGACTGATAACAGCCATTCAGTGGGGGGATAAGGTCTGAACTGGGGGTTTTTGTTTTCTTTCAAGAAAATGATCAAAAATAATCGTCTGCACACTGTGGGCACATCCTAGCCTGCTGTTGTTGTTGTTGTGTGAGTGTATGGTAAGATGTACTCTAACAGTATGGCTAGCACCGAGTGGGAAAGAAGGGACAAAATGAACTGGACTTAGTGTTTCGTGTCTACAGCTGCTATTTTAATCACTGTGCTCCAGCGTGTTGATAAGGCATGAGTCTCAGTGTGTACATTGTGTGGGGTGTAGGGATGGGTACCGGTATCCGGTGCCATCATGGCACCGGTTCTGACATAAACGGTAGTAACCAGACCGAAAAGCGGCGCACATTTCGGTGCTTTATTTCAGTGCTGTTTTTTCCTGAGATGTTGTACACTTTGGATTCTAGCCAATCATTTTACCTTTCCGAGGATAGTAGGCGGGTCCAGGTACGTACGTTCTTTTAGAGCAGAGCTACAGATTAAAAACGCCCAAGGTGAAGCGGTCAAACTCTGTACTTCACAGCAAAAGATGCAAACTCAGCAGCCTGCAACAAGTGCTTTAAGATGATACTGTGCAAAGGAGGTAATTCCTCGAATCTGATGAAACACCTGGCAACACATAGCGTTTTTTTAAAAGCCGAGAAATGCATCGTATTTGATAGCTTGCTGCGAGACCTCACACCAAGCACATCTACTGCGGGTGGGTTGCCGGTTATCAGTTAGCAACATCCCCCAAAAACCCGAAGAGGAGAGTCCTGGCCCCTAGCCCCGCCAGTGTAGCAGAAATGATGACGGATGATGGTGGCAGCAGCAGCCGTTCTTTTCTGCGTGAGTAGCTTAATGTTGTTCGTGTGTAATTTACGTTCAGTAGGCTAACCACGTTATTACATTAATGCATGTAAGGTGAACTAGCAAACACCGTTGTAGTTCCATGCAGCTGTCTTCTTGTTTGATGGCAGATACTCCCTTCACCCTGGCCAAAAAGGCTAAAATGGCCAAAGAAAAAGTGGAAAACAGCTAAGGTTGATAAGCTGATATCAGATAAAACCTAAACGATACCCAACCCTAGTGGGGTGTGGGGGACATAATAGTGATCTGTCATTTTCCAGCAATTTTTTGCAGCAATTTCTGATAAGGCACACACATGTGGTTACACAAGAGAGAGAGATACAGGCAAACAATCATACGTGTGCAACGAATGATACCCAGAGACAACAGACAATAGAAATTCACACACAGACACACACGTAAACATTATGCCTGTATACCCTAAGTTTTTCAACACTGAGCATTTGTATAGTCAGTCTGACACCCAAATAAAATCACACACACACACAGTCACACACTAAGTAGAGAAAATGCCCGGGGCAGACTCTTGGCTCTCGTAAAGCTGTGTTAAGTCATCAGACTGGGCCACACACTTCATTTGCACAATGAAACACACTCACGCATGCACACTCCTGAAGTATGTAGTTACATAAGCTGTGAATCCACATGCACTCTTACTCGTAGCACACACAGGCACACACTGGCCGTCACTCTCTGACACACAAAACCTTTGCATACACTCACACAAGTCAAACTAAATTTAGTGTCTGTCTGTGTTTGAGTTAGGACCGCTCGCCAACCAAATAGCTTCATGAATATTTCAGTGGAGTAACTAGATTACTTTTGTTCCAAAGTGGCCTTGGATGGGGGAATGTGGATTTTTTTTAACTGAATCTTAAACATATTTCTTATTCCATTTTTCTGTGTTTTTTTGGTGTCTCTCTTCTCTTCAGAAACTTGCTCTGTCTCTGCTGTTTAAGTTAGCATTGGGGAATACTCTCTCAGGAGGCATCAGAGTGGAACAGTGGGAGTGATTTTCTTCAGGCTTTCCCTCTCGGTTGGAGGGGAAGTGTGAATATTGGAGATAATTTAAGAAGCACACGTTAGAACGCTACACAGCGATCAAGGATGATTTTAGGGTAATTTTGTGGTGTTAAGTAACAAGTCTTTAAAAACAGGACTGACCGTAACAACAGTACAGAGTTCATTCATCATGTTACAGAGTCCCAAGATATGAAACCTAAAAGGGTCAGGGTTTCTCCACTCAATACTTCTGTATATTGTTATCTACTATATTTAATTGCATAGTATTTGGATTTTAACAGCTTAGTTTTG